TCAAACCGCCCCCTCATGACGTAAACCCAAACTGAGAGATGAGACTCTTTTCCTTCGAGCATTCCGTTTGGATCGATACGCAGGCAAAACTTGTAGCCACCAGGCTCACTGTAGAATGGAGGACTATACCAAGCCTTCCCTTGCTTCTTGTGGTAAGTGAAGTTCATCATAGTGAACTGACACGGGGGGATATTGGAGAAAGAGGTGAGGGGGAGGGGACGCTGCCACTCTGGTATCTTGAAACCTGAAGACATCTTACGCATGGCCTCTATAAATAATAATAATAACAACAACAACATAAGTACATGCATTTAAAATATATATGGACTATAGCCTTGGATATTTTTCAGATTTTGGGCGTTTTCTTAAAATGGCCGTAACTTGAAAAATTGAAGTCGGAATCACCTCAAACTTTCTACACAGCATAAGGACATCAATATGTATCAGAAAATGTAATAAAAATTTGGGGTGATTTCGGAGCTATTTTTTGGAAAAAAAAACATGGGCTATAGCCTTGAGTATTTTTCAGAACTTTAACTTTAACTTACCAAATTGTCTGTCAATAATATTAATTCTATCAATGGCTTCTCTTTGAATCCTAGTGTCCATCTTCTTCAGTCCGTCTTGTAGCGTTTGAAATCTTACAGCCAAATCTCCAACTGTTTTCCCAGCTGCAGTAATTTCCTTATCCATTTTTGTCCTATGTTCTTCTAGTGGTTTTATCTTATTATTCTCCTGCTGCTTCAGTTCAGCTTTAAACTTCTTCTCAACTTCTAGCTTCAGTTCCTCTATCCTTACATTAAGCTGACGAGTTGTTTCTCTATTAATCTCCTCCTTAGCTTTGACTAATTTCCTTTCCACTTCTCCTTTCTCTTCTTCGATTGTTTTGTGTAGATTCTCCAGTCCTCCCTTAACAGCTGCAATTTCAGCTCTGGATCCTTCATCATTTTGCCTTATCGTTTGCTCCATTTCGTTTATTTTTTCTTCCATTTCTTGTTTGTTCTGTACAGCTATATTATTACCTTCTTCAATTTGTTCCTGATTCATGGCAATTCTCTCCTCCAGTTCTTTTGTATTGTTAACCATTTTTGTCTCAATTTTTGTCTCTAATTCTTTTATACCATCAGCCATCTTTGCCTCCATTTCCTTCCTGTCCCCATCCATTTTCTCTTTCATTTCTTTAATGATTCGATCCTTTTCTTTGAGCGATCCTCTCTGAGCTTCACATAGTCTCTCAAGGGCTTCAACTTTTTTCAACAGAACAAGTTTCCAGGGTCGATTGCGACACTCATCTTCTTGGTGAAACCCTATATCTTTACGTGCATATTTCCGCCCACACTCCCATTTACATTCCTCAAGAACGTATTGGCAATCCTTCTCAAGATGATCCTCAATATGGCGGACCTCTCCAATCCATTGACAGCCTCCCTCCCTTTCTTTTTGATTGCAATAAACTTTGAGTGCCAATATCTTCCTCTCGTGTTCTCTGTCTATCAACGTCTGGAACTTTTCTTTCCTACATAAAGGACAGGGCTTCCCAGCTAGTCGTTCTCTGTCAATACAGGTTAGACAGAATTTTTTAGCTCCACAGCAATCGATTATTTGTGGCTCTTTACAAGGCAGGATGCAGATTGGACACGTTAGGTTTTCTGGAGGGTCCTCAACGTATGTATAATCGTATCCTCCAGCCTCAGGCAGTGGCTGACAAGCAGGTTCATCACCACCACCTTCCGCCATTTTGCTGTAGGAGTGGTTCAATTCACGTGATTATTTTTAACCACGCCCACTCAATTAATAATGAAATGAATAGCTAATTAATCAATTATTCGTTGCTTTGAACACAAAATAAATACATGAATACAGCAAAAACGGTAATGATTATTAATGAAATATTATTAATTATTATTATTAATGTCACACTTTATGAAATAATAAGTGCATTAAAACAATAACTATTAAAATTACAATAGTTCTGATTCATATACAGCAAGTTTCTGAGGAGGAACTTCCATATGTTCCTCTGGACCTGAAGAAGTAGAAATAAATAATAAAGTATTATTACTCTCCCCCCCTCCTCTCTCTCTCCCTCCCTCTCTCCCTCCCTCTCTCTCTCTCCCTCCCTCTCTCTCTCTCTCCCCTCTCTCTCCTCACCAAAGACAGCTATGATGGCGTTTGATGCAAACTGAAGAAGTTTAGATTCAAGTTTCTTAGCCGGAGCAGACAGGACTACACAGGAAG